CCAGGAGAGAAGCGAGGCTAGCGGATTAACCTTTGCAGCCAATGCATACACACATCTGCCTCCACTTAGTCTTCCATCTGATCCAAGCTGGGGGTGGGAATAGAGACAGAGGTCACTCAGGCTTCAGGATTTAGTTCTCAACGGAGCAATTCTCAACTTAGAACAAGTCTGTATCAAGTACTTCACAAGGCTCTCAGCACTGTTTGCACTTGGAAAAGTAAATCCTATTAAAAATGGAAGGTCTGCTCCACTGGGGGCCCAATTTGCATATCATCTCTTTAAAGAAATGGTTCATACATAAATTTATCAAAGGATTTAACAGAGTCCGGTAAAATCTGAGGCTAAGTCAGCACTCTGCACCGACCACACACCACACAGAATCCAAAACTCAGCAAACAGTGGTGTGCTCACATACAGAGCAGAGCTGTTGGACATCCCAACCACACCCCCTTACTTTCAGCTGCAGGACCCTGAAAGTCTCCAACAGGGACTGAAGCAACCTCTAACTACACAGACTCCTAGGGAGCCCCCTCTTAGAGGATTTCAGGGAAATTCTGGTTTCTGCTCTCAAGAAATTCACCATCAAAGTGAGAAAAATGTGTATTCACACTTGTATCCATGAGAGCAGGAGAAAGAATAATCTTTGATTCATAGTCTTCTGGGGTCTGATCAAATAGCGTGATTCTTATCGTATTTTAAAGACCTTAAATTAGGCCGGGCGGTGGTGGCACACGCCTTTAATCCCAGCACTCGGGAGGCAGAGCCAGGCGGATCTCTGTGAGTTCGAGGCCAGCCTGGTCTCCAAAGCGAGTTCCAGGAAAGGCGCAAAGCTACACAGAGAAACCCTGTCTCGAAAAACCAAAAAAAAAAAAAAAAAAAAAAGTTTAAAGACCTTAAATTTAGAATTTGTTTTCAAGGTTTCCAAAGAACCGTTTTTGTAGACCAAGTTCCTTTGGTTATGAGTAAGTGGGCATTGTCTTGTGAAAAATTAGTCATGAAGTGTCCAGTGCTTTTTTTTTTTCATGTTAGTATGGACTATTTGTCAACTCTTAATCGAATTGGGGAAAAAGGTAAAAATTCGGAGATGGCAAAGTGGGGTAAGGAAAGGAGAAGCCCCCATTTTATAGGTTGGAACTGTTTATTCAGGGAGTGTGCTCTGTGTGTGTGTGTGTGTGTGTGTGTGTGTGTGTGTGTGTGTGTGTGTGTGTCTTCTTGATGGCAGACTTGTGGAGGTCAGAGATCAACCTGAGGTGACAGCCCTAACCTTCCATCTTGTTGGAAACAGGGCCTCTTGTCGTTTGTCACTACCGGTTAGCTGTCCTACCAGCTCCCAGGGCCTCTCTGGTCCTCACTTCCCATTTCCCTGTAGGAGTGCTGTGGTGACTGATGCAGGCAAGGGCACCTGACTCTACATCAGTTCAGGGGATTCAAACTCAGGTCCTCACAGTTGCACAGCTTGCAGTTTACCCACTGAGCCATCTCTCTGACACCTCAAAGAAAAAAATTTTAAGAGGCTGTTCAGTAAGTGCGGCCTCAAAACTCCCTGCTTTTGCCGTGTATTGAGAGTGTTTAAACAATAGGATGATAACTGGCAGTATTTTACAAATGGCCTCTGGCAGTCTCGATGGAACTGTTATAATTCTTTCCGTTGGTCACTAGCAGAAGCTCACTTTCATGGTTCTATAAATCACTCCATAAAAAAATACATGCTTCTCAGGTTTTATAAGCCCCAAAGACCAGCAGTTGTATGACCCCTAAATAGACCAGAAAGGAGAGAAATAATTTGGAGCTGCTCCTTGGGTGCCTCTATGCAGCATCAGAGTTGGGAGGAGATTTGCCTCTCAGACACAAAAAGTGCCGGATGTGTGCAGAAGGAAGTCATACTGCCTGTTTCCTCCCATCTCTCCTGCAGCTCCAGGAGGAAGGAGAAAGCTTTATGATTTCTAATATGAATCTCCCCTCACTTCCTTTGTTTTTATGAATTTGTGACATTATTCTTAGGTATAAGATTCAGGAAGTATAAATTTTCTATAGGTACCTAAAATCATATATATATTTGTGTATTTATTTCATATATGTGTGTGCATATACATATATATTTCATATATATGTGTACATATACATATATATTTCATATATATAATAAAAATAGAAGCAGACATGTCTACAGAGACAAAGGGCACTAATGGGGAGGGAGTGGTGAGAACAGTGAGGATAGAGGATATAGTAAAAGTGTATCAAATGTACAATGTATGATTATATTAAGATGTTCTTTGTGTGAGCCAGATGATAGAGAGCAGAACCATAAAATGCTGTCTTCTGGGCATGAGTTGGCCATTGCACTCGGGAACTCATGGCTGTAGCTGTAACCATCTTATTAAATAAGAAACACAGAGCCAAACGCAGAGTTAAAAGCCCAAGAGGTCAGAGCAGTAGCTAAGCGCAGAGACTAAAACCCTTTCTTACCCTTCGCTGCCACTGTTGTCCTTCACTACACATGGCAGCTGCAGCTGCCTGCTCAGGGCCTGTACAAGAGCGGGCCCATCATAGTCTATCAACGATATGGGAGGGACTTAAGTGGGCTGGCCTCTCCCTGGAAGATATCGGCAGTATGTGGCTACTTGGGACTGAGAAGTCATTGTCTTCAGGGAGTACCCACTGGTGAGTGCCCATGCGCCCATGGATGCCCATCCAGACCTGATTAAACTCAGGGGGTCACAAAATAAGCCAAAAACAAAACAAAAAGACATAAAAGTGGGACAATGGAGCCTTGTCAGAAAAAGTGAGGTTGGTGGGGGTCAAATGGAGATAAGAAAGGGTAAAGAAATTAATATGATTGGAATGTATTCTATATATATAATATATATTATATTTATATTTTGTATATTATATATATTATATTTATATTTATTTATATATGAAACTGTCAAAGAAACATTTTTAATTTTCTTATGTAGTACAGTATCATGTACAATGAACATATACAAAGAGAAAAGACATTTAAAGATTCAGGACATACATATAGACATGTGCCCCTAAAGCACAGTCCCTGGAATGAGATCAGAGCCACGCCCATGTCCCAAGCAATTGCCATGGACACAGCTCAAAGCTCCTTCTCAAGGCTGCAGCCAATTATGGTAGCCTCAGAGTGGGACTTGTCATTCTGTCTGCACTGACCACTCCCTGCTGATAAGGTGTCCAATCTTTAACAGGATAACCTACAGAAGGGATGCGCCCCTCAGACACCACTTCATCAGCCCCAGCCCCAGCCTGTGAAATGTGATTATGGAGGGAACTGTTCTGAACTTGACCCTGTGCCGTATCAGAAGCCTTCATACCTCTGTGCCCCGAGAGGCCTAAACATCAGCCTCATAGCCATGCTCTGCTTTTCACCTTGCTCCTGAGGCACAAGTTGTGTACAAACCACACACTCTTGAGTGTTCCAAACCTCTGGACCTTGTTCCAGCTTCAGGGTTGACCTCTACCGAGGTATGAGACTTTGAAAGGCAAGTGTCCCCACAGTGTTCAAGAGTATGCTGAGTAAAACAGAGGTCAGAGTTCATCAGAACTCAGAGAGAGAAATGCATTTTGGGTAGAAAGTGAAGGAATGGAGTCATCTGAATTTCACTACTCACAAGGATCCTGAAAGCTGAAGGAAATAAAGGCCAGTGTCTGTAGACCTCACATAGGCACAGGTGTCTCCCCAACATCCTGTATACTACTAACTTTTCCCATTGCTGCGGCAAAAACCTGACAAGAAGCAACATAAGAAAAGAAGGGTTTATTGTGGCTTATAGTTCCAGAGGCTGAAGCGCATCACGGCAGGAAGGCATACAGGAAGGCATACGTGGCAAAAGATGGCTGATCAGGCACCCATCCATGGTCAGGAAGCAGACAGCGGATAGGAGGCGGGGCCAGCTACGAAATCAATGCCTGTCCCTGGTGACCCACTTCCTCCAGGGAGGCTCCACCTCCTAAATGTTCTACAACCTTCCCAAACAGCACTGCTACCCACAATGAGCCTGTGAGGGACATATATTCAAATCCCACTTTGGGCCACCTCTCCACTGAAAATATAGATGTGTCTGCAAGGCAAGGCCCAGGCTAAGAGTCCTTCTTCTGCCCTCACTGCCTTCTGTGCACCTACTCTCTGTACACTTCCTTCTCAGTGAATCTCTCAATGACTATACAGCTGTCATTCTGGAGGGCAAGGGCCTGTGACAGAATTTCTGGGGGTAGAATTTGGATTGTTATCATACATGTGACTAAGCTCAACCTCTTCCCTTTTAAAGTCTCAACAAGAACCCCTACAGTGCCCTAGTTTTTCCCCCAGAGACAGGTTTGGCTATAACTGTCACTCCTTTGTTTCTAATATAAATATTTCCACAAGCTTCTGCTACAGAAAAAGAAAATCCTTTCTTCCCACCAGGCCAGCAGCCACTGGGACAAAACTTAAGGGTGACCATGCTGTTCCCAGTCTCAAGATCTCAGAACGATGTCTGTCAGCTCAGGACCTGACTTTTGCATGGCTGTGACAAAACAGCTGAGAACAATTTAAAGGGACGTGTTATTTATTTTGTTCATGGTTTCAGAGATTTCAGTCCATTGTGTCTAGGACGGCATAATAGGATAGAGAAACTTTCGTCCCAGTGGGCTGGGAAGCAGAGAAAAGAGACTATCCATACTCCACTTTCTCTGGCACTGCCTTTTGTTCCACAAAGGTTCTCAGCCCAAGGGATGCTGCCATCACATCCAGAACGAAACTTCCCTCTCAGCTAGTCATCTCTGGAAACAGATTCATAAATATACCCTGAGGCATGTCTCACAAGTCTCCTAGGTGATTTTAAATATAGTCAAGTTGACAATAAAGATTAATCATCGCACTACCGTGAATGTCAGTCAGATAAACACCACAACTGGTACTACAGGAATGTTGAGAAGTTCCCTGCAGTGGGGTCCTTGAAGCCTAAGCTGTCCTGACCACCCTCTGTGTCCCCTAGGCTTGGACACCAAACAAGCGCAGGTCATCGTCCTCTCCTCTGGGACCAAGTGTATCAGCGGTGAGCACATCAGTGACCAGGGGCTCGTTGTCAACGACTGCCATGCTGAAATTGTGGCCAGGCGGGCATTTCTTCACTTCCTGTACACTCAGCTGGAGCTGCACTTGAGGTAAAGGGGCCCCTAGCATGGGCAGGACCAACACACCTTAGTTAGTGAGAAGCCAGGCAACTAGGTCATGGAAAGGAGTCCCACAGCCAGCTCAAAATGTGTCATCCACTTATCTTGGTAGATCCCATACATTGTAAGTGACTGTGCACCACATAGCATCTATTTTTATTCAGACTTGGAGTGCCCTTTGAATACCACACAGACACTGAAGTGTTAAATTACCAGATGTCTGCATGACACTCAACATCTCAGTTCAGGAAACATGCTTTTTGCCTACAGGTTACACACACAGGTTACCACACATGTGCCCACAGGCATAGACACACAGGAATACATCTTGTCATGGCTCATTCCATTTGGTTATTTTTCAATTAAAACATTCAGCCAGCCACTATAGCATCCCTCAAACAACAATTTCCTTTATGAAACCCAGATATCAACAAGACCACAGGGCACAGTCATCCCTGGATCTTACAGACCTTCAATAAGCTATTTACCCAACCAGCTACTCCAATATAAATATCAATGGGACAAGACAACAATGCAATTTCTAGGACCCACCTACAGATCACAGAAGTTTTCTTGCAAAAAGTGCAACCACCCAAAAGGGAGAAGACAAGACAGGGAAAGACATAGAGAAAAGAAGTTGAAGGACAGAGAGAGGGAGGGAAGAAGAAAGAGGGAGGAAGAGAGGGAAGGGGGAAGAAAAGAAGAATACAATGATTTTGCTGTCTCTAGGGAAATGGGAGTCATTGCTCTCTGGAACGATAATTCCATTGATTGAATTGAAAGAGTGTTTGGTACAATGTGAGATGACGTGGATCGATGCGCTTGCTCCCTGGCAAAAACTTTCATTTCAGCCATGGAAAGGTGCCAGGTTGACATTGACACCTCTGCTCAATTCTGACAAAATCGTATCCACTTTAAGCAGGGCTCACAGTTGAGTTATTTCTACAAAGGGAAGAGGGTCCCCTCTGCTCCCTGGTCAGTTTGGGTTTGAGAATTTCTCAGCCAACATAGTTTCTTTGACAGTTCAGGGTTCTTCATGTTTAGTAAGGGCCATCTCTCAGGGGCCAAGCTCATAAACGGGCTGTCATTTATTTCCTGACACCAGTCCTAATCTCGGGGCCAAGCTGTTTTCATTGTGCAAACCAAAGGTAAACGACTCTCACAAAAATACACGGTGGCCATCTTGGTGTAGGTATTCAATACTTTGTAGGCCTTGTCCTACATAGTCAAGTCACCCTGTCCTGGTGACCTCAGTTCTCCTCACATCCCCACAGAACCAAATACGTTCCATTCTCTAGACTTCTAGATTTCAAATCAGGAAATGTGACCAAAATCGTGCACACTTGTGTGTGTATATGTGTGCTTGTATGTGTGTATGTGTGCACATGGAGGTCAGAAAACAACCTCAGATATCATTCTCAGAAGCCATCTACCTTGTTTGTTTTGAGACAGGACCTCTCACTGACCTGAAAATCCCCAGATAGGATAATCTGATTGGCCAGTGAGGAATGGCAATCAGCTCAGTCTCTCTGCTTCCCTGACAGTGGGATCAGAAGTGCATGCCAGCAAGCCTGGATTTTTTTAAACCTAAGTTCTAGGAAACAAACTTGGATCTTCATGGTTGCCAACCAAACCATCTCCTAAGCCTGCCACATACACTTTAACAAGGATTTTCTAGAGTGAAGAGGTGCTAAGAAATGTGCTACAATGCTGGAATTTCTGATGTCCTCATGGCAGCCATCAGGAAAAAGCAGGCTGTCACATGAGCTGGAATCTCTCTGGAAGACACAATAAACTCCAGCAGAAACCCAGGTAGATTTGATCATGTGGCACTTCATACACACTCCTGAAACAAGCTAGTCCCAGTAGTTGAATTGCTGTGGGTCTCTTTGACAGAACATTCTTTCCTTGCATCTTCCAGCTGCCCTTTTCTTACCATTTGAAACAGGGTTCCTTAAATCCACTAATAACAGCATCTCAGAAGGGCTTCAGTGAGTGGCTCATTCACATGAACCTGTCTGTTAGCATGTACAGAAGTCACACAAAAGGGAAAAGGCCTAATATATGCCAAACAGACTCGAATAAAGGCAATACCTTAATACACTCAATTAATTTTTATCTGAGCCTCTGCACAGCACATAGCAGCATGATATATTGCCATATCCGTTCCAGGAGGCCTGGTGAGAGGTCAAATGGAATAGACAAGAGCTGGAAAGCTCTCAAAATGTGGGGAAGGATCTCTACTGAATACCCAACTTCTCAGCTGGAAATGTTCTCCAGTTCCCTCTACCTCCTGTATGTGTCACAGAAGACAATCCAGTCAACTTTGCCCAGACTTGGATGCATTTTAGGCACTGCACAACTATCCGGAAAAGTCAAAGACAGTCACACCCCATCCCTTTCCTGCAGAAGGATACCAAAAATGGCTGCAAAGGGCCTCAAGAACAAGTAAAGTTTCCCTTAATGGGTCTGGCTTTGCACTGGGGGACCAAGACTGCGTGCAGTTGTTCCCAGGGCTGTGGAAGAAGAGCCACACATGATGGAGGAGTCCACTTGGGCACAAGGGAAGAGGTAGTCGCACATGAGCTTGTAGTAGCCTCGAGGATTTCCTAGGGACACTAAATTCATTCGGCTGCCTATGAGATCTCAAGGCCCTGCAAAGCAGAATCCATCACCAATGGGCAGAACTTGTACAAACAGCAAGAATGATGGAAAGCAGACTGCCAGTGGCATGCTGAGGGGTCTGGGAGAAAAACCACAGCTCAGTTGTTCAGTACCCATGTGATATCATCCCTCCTTGGGGAGGCAGAGCTGCTGAGATGCAGGGTTAAGGGCTATGAAGAAGGTTTTCCTGAAGCAAGAGCATGTAAATCCCAAGATTAGGAGGCATGAGTTTATTCTAGATCTCCCCTGAATGATTTAAAAAAAAAAAAAAGCCAGTTCTGCATGGTTTGGCATTTCTGCCTAGTTTGTTAGTACCCAAGCTCAGACACTGTTTAAAATCTCTTTTCTCTCTACTGCACACACTAGTACCCACTGAGACTACTCTAGTTAGTAGTATCCCAGGACACTCCATGAATGGGGCCTCGCAGGCACAGAGGATTATGGTTTATAATGATAGGTACTGGTTTGTAAAAGATAAACTTAAAACGTATGGTTGGAGAGAGAGAGTTCAGTTTGTAAAGTGATTCTCAAACAGAACAGGACAGAACAGGGACCAAAGTATGACACTCAGAATGCATGCCTAAAAAGAAAATGAAACAAAAAAACAAAAACAAAAACAAAAGCCAGGCATGGTGGTACATGCTTATAACCCCAGAGTTGAGGAGGCAGAGACAGAGAGACCCTGAGGCTCACCAGGCAGCCTAGCCTACACGGTGAGTTCCAGACCAATGAGAGACTCTGTCAAAAGAAAAGATGGATGGTACCTGAGGAGTAGCACCTGAAGCTGTCCTCTGACCTACACACACACACACACACACACACACACACACACACACACACACACACACACACACACACACACGGGAGAGAGAGGAAGAGAGAGAGAGACCTCAAGTGTGAATGTTCAGGGAGGGTGGAGATGGAAACATTTCTGCTGATTGTGTTTGTTCCCAGGTAGTTTTACTGTGGCCTTTCCCAAAGTGTCCCAGCAAGGGGCAACAACACACAAGTGTACAGGGGGTAAAAGATGGGGAACCGCTGACTCCACAGAACAAGACAAAAGCACCTATTGGGACATCTTCAGTTGTTTTGTCATAAGTGACCTACATCCTCTTTGTGTCCATAGCAAACACCGAGAGGACTCCGAGAGATCAATATTTATTCGTTTAAAGGAAGGAGGCTACAGGCTTCGAGAAAACATCTTCTTCCATCTCTATGTGAGCACGTCCCCCTGCGGAGATGCCAGACTCAACTCTCCCTACGAAATCACAACAGATTGTAAGAAACCACATATTTATTTGCCTTTTGTCAATAAACAATGCCAGACCAGGCTCCCTCTGGCTAAGCTCTGTCCCAGGCCAGCTGGGCCAAGGCATCTTGTGTGTAGTGTGGATGGATAGCTGGATGGAAGTGAATCATAGCTACAATTAGATACCTCCAAAACCTCCATCTAAAATGCTCAGGTCATTGGCAGAAAAGTAGTTTGGGGTCTAAAATTAGCTATTTAATTACAATGGCACTCTGCTTTGTTTTACTAGGTCAGACATTCCCTATATCCCAGGCTGGAAAATGGAACCAAAGAGAAAGCAAATGAAAATTACATGGGGTGAAAGCAAGCTCAGACTAGCTCTTTTTGCCTTCGTTTGCAACTTGGGTGAGAAAGAAACTCAACTTTTGCAACATAGCCAGGGGCCAAAGTGTAGTGTCCATTAACTTTAAAATGCCATTGCTAAACCCTTCTCAAGGACACAGTGCCAATCCTCTCCATCACCACTGTGCGTTTCTAGGATGGAGGATAAAGGTGGGTGTCCACACCTCTTGGAGATACTGGTGAGACTGTCTTGACCATAAAAGACAAAAATCAGCCGGGCGGTGGTGGCGCACGCCTTTAATCCCAGCACTCGGGAGGCAGAGCCAGGCAGATCTCTGTGAGTTCGAGGCCAGCCTGGGCTACCAAGTGAGTTCCAGGACAGGCGCAAAGCTACACAGAGAAACCCTGTCTCGAAAAACCAAAAAAAAAAAAAAAAAAAAAAAGACAAAAATCAAGGACTCTCACCTTCTCTCTTAAATTATGCCATATTCTATTACTGTAACAGGCATACATCTTGCACTTATTTGTGTGTATACCACACATGTACACTCACACACTCCTCCAAACTTTTTCTATTTGCATTCTTTCCTTATTTATTTGTATGTATGTGGTGTGTGTGTGTGTGTGTATGTGTGTGTGTATGTGTGTGTGTGCGTGTGTGCAGACACATGTGTGACACAGTCCACCTGTGGAGGTCACACAACAACCTCAGCATCCATCTTCACCCTCCACTTGGTTTAAGACAGGTTCTCTTCTTTTTTGTTCGTGGTTGTATACACCAGGATCACTGACCACTGAGCTCAAGGGAGTCTTCCCATCTCACTTTAGGAGTGCTGGGTTTGCAGGTGTACCACACTGCACGCAGCTTTACATGGTTCTAAGGGCATAAACTCAGGTCTTCAAGCTTGCACAAAGTGCCCATCACACACACACACACACACACACACACACACACACACACACACACACACACATACACAGTCTCTTTCTAAAAGCTTGAGAGAGGAAAGTGCTGGTCTGTGTGATCTCACGTTCTATTCTCATTTCTCTTGACTCAAGGCTGTGTCTACTATCATGTTGGCCAGGATACCACCACCCCTTCACCCTCCTGTGGGCAGTTCCTGTAGTTTCTCCGATAGTGTGTTCCCTTTTCTGATTCTCACTCCAGCTTGGTTCTGCCATTTGCTTTCTAAAGCATGTGAAATGTAGGGAATACCTGCCAATCCCTCTCTTAAAGGGAAAGCAACAGAGTTGACAAGAATGAAAAAGAACTTTTTTGAACAAACACTCAAACTGAGAGTTAGAAAAATAAGCTAAATATATATGGGTTTGAAGACTCATATATATTTTTTTTCTTTACTTCTTCTCAGTGGCTTCTTTGTCTTGGCGAACATCCCCTACACAAGCCTGGAATACAGCAGGCATTTGATAAGTGTTCTTTTTTTATCCCTGACTTTGATGATTAGACCATAAATGTAACCTCACCCACAAGGGAAAAAGAGAGTTAGGACCAGCCCTTAGTAACCATGGAGTGTGATGTGTTTCCACTGGAGACTTCCTCTGAGCACAAGGCACGTTTGATGGCTTGATAACTTTATTAGAATCAGATCCCTTTCATACACATATATTACCTTCATTTTTGCATAAAGAATTTTATGTTTTATTTAGCTCAAATGAACCCCAGAAAATGTTAACTCTATTCATATAGAAACACATAGACACATATTTAGTTTTACTGTCTGTGCTTGGAAGAGTTTTCTAGGCCTGTGTGTTGGCTGTTTGCATGTCTCTGGGATAAAACACCTGGCAAAGGCAACCAAAATGAGGAAGGGTTTATTTGGGGTCATATTTTCAGAACAGTCAGCCCAGCATGTCAAGGAAGGCATGGTAGCTGTTCACATCATGGCTACCAGGAAGCAGAGGTAAAACAGAAGGCAAGCTAAAACCCTAAGGCCACATCTCCAGTGACCCTCTTCCTCCAAAGGCTATACCTCTAATTTTTCACCAATGATACCATGGTGTTTCAGATCCATTAACAATTACTCCAGTAGTCAGATCAGAGCCCTCATGAACTAATGGTCCCTGGAGATGTGCTCATAGATACATCCAGAGTATGTTCCACTAACCCAGATGTTCCTTAGTCTAATCAAGTTGACTATCAAAATTTGGGTAGGTAGGAAAGTGGGGAAACTTGGGGGGAGTTAGGAGAAGGAAGTTGAATATGATTAAGACCTATTGTCCAAAATTCTCAAAGAACTAGTAAAAAATGAGGAAAAAAAATTAACCATCACATCATACTTCTTAGGCCAGTCATAGTGATGCATGTCTATAAGATATATTGAATAGGCAGAAGCAGGAAGGTCACAAGTTTGAGGCCAGGCTGGGCCACACTTTGAGCTGGAGAGATGATTCATTGGGTAAAGTACAAGCTTGAGGGTCTCAGTTTGAATCCCTGGAACCCATGTGAAAAGGGAAGCCAGGTACATTTGTAAGCCCAGGGTTTGTGATGGTGAGGCATCCACACACCTGAGCTCACGTACAGAAACACAGAGAAGGGGAGGGATGAGGAGAAGAGAAGTGGAGAAAAGGAGAGAGAGAGAGAGAGAGAGAGAGAGAGAGAGAGAGAGAGAGAGAGAGAGAGAGAGAGAGAGATTAAAAAGGTAAAGAAGGAGCTGATTCATTTCTTAATAATATCCATCAAGGTAGATCTACACAATACTAACTTGCCCTAGAAATATATGAAATTTGGTCTGTTTCCCAATAGCTCTTTGAAACATTTGGAGTTAGCTCTAATTTATTCAGCTTCCTCCTTGGCCTGCATAGCCCCAGCAGGAGTTAGGAGAGGGCTAAGTGAGGACCACAAAAATGTCGACCCTGCCTGAGGCCTTGGTCCCCTGTGGGGACCATTCTGGCTCATTGGGTTTCCCGTGTCTCTGTACATCAAGCACCAAGTGTGCCTTCTCAGCCCTCGGTTCTAACTTGCAATGTCAGTGGTTTAGAAAAGCAAACAAATGCATTCTCAGAGGCCCCCTGAGGTTCACTTGCACACACAGATGTCTTTTATTTCATGGTGCTTTTAAGAAGTGGCAGGTGCTGGTAGGAGGAGAGAAATGAAGTCTTTCCCTCACAGCGTTGCTGTGAATATGGCAAGCAAAGGGAAGATGCTCTTGCCTGCATGCCTCTAATGTAAGCTGGTGTCTCCCGACCCACTGGGGAGTGCAGAGGAGGCAGGCACTTGCAGTCTTGCAAAGTGGACTCATCAGCTAAAAGCCATGCATCATTTTCCCCTCGTCACTCCAAGGACAAGGAAAGCCAACTACCTGCTGTCCTCTGAAGAAGCCTTCAGAGAGACTGCTCAGCATCCCTCACGCCTCCTGAGGAAGGCAGATGCTCTCAGGAGCAGCTTCCTCAATTTCCACCTTAAAGAGATTGCTACAACTCTCCCAGCTGTCCCCTTGTACACTGATTTTTTTTTTTTGTTCCCCTTTAAGGAGGGCTGGACTGCTGGATAATGGAATTCAAGTGATCAGGTTTTTGCTTTTAGGGGCTCCTTCCAAGGCCAGCAAAGGACCAAAGGCAATAGTGACAATCCCCTGCAGGAAGATTTGTTGAGATACTGCGATAACTCCAGTTAGCACTAGTTCTAGAGGTCCACAAGCTGGCACCATCCACTCCCTACAAGTTAATTTGCAGAAACTCCAGCCTCACTGCACCAGCAGCTCAGGGTCTGTGTCCCTAAATGAAACACTGGGAGCCATCCTTCCCGACCCCAACCGTCAGTGTGGTATTATTATGCACAGAAGCCAAAGAGCACAAACACACTCAGCCAGCTCCAGTGAGATCTTCATCTGGGATCTCAGAGACATTCCAGAGCAAAGAAAGCTCCTCCAGGACAGGGCTCGGGCTTCCTGAGCTTCTGTCACTGCCAGGCACAGTGTGCTAATGAGACTGATGACTGAAGCTCTTTGTCATTTTAGTCCCACTCTGTCATTAGGTGTAACATAGCTATCACACAGCTCCTCAGAGAGCCTGCAGTGTGCTGACCATTATCAACTCGTGACTGTGGCAGGGTCATTCATTCTCTCCCTCATGCATATATACACATATGTATCTCATGCATATAAACACATGCACCTGAGGTCATGTGCATATAACATATAACACATACTTGCATAAGCCCATGTGGTCACATGTTGTGATTTATCAGAGTCTACGAACACAACTACAACAGGACTATAAGTCCAAGAGACTTAACTACGTGGCATAGATTGTCCTTCTTTTTAATTAGTGTAGGAACACAGAGCAGAGCAGCCTAAGGGAAAAAAAACTACAGTTTTTGGGTTTCAGAGTGTGTTGTGTTGTTTGTTTGTTTATTGGAGTTTTTGTTGCAGTTTTGTTTGGCTTGGTTTGGTTTGTTTCCTTGAGACAGGATCTCATAAACCCCAAGCTACCCTCTAATTTGCTTATGTAGCCAAAGATGGCCTCAAACTCCTGATCCTCTGTCTATTTCTCCTGATCTGCTGGTACATGAGTGTACCTCACACCCAGTTAATGTGGTGCTGGGATCTAGCTCAAAGATTCATTCATGCAGGGCAAGAACTCTACAAACAAAGCAATATTCCCAACACTTTCCAGAGTTTTGAGCGATTATTTTTAATATGTTTTAAATTAAAACATAATTACATCA